CTGTATATATATACATACAGTGCCCCACACAAAATGGGAGGTAGTTTTATTTGCATATATGGTAAAGGAAGTAGATAATCAACTGCCTGCTTTCAGTGACAGATGCTTTGTATGGAAACTGTAAGAGTGTATTTCATCATTCAGCTCTACTCATTGCTATTCAACTACCTCAGTTGTGATTGGAGATACTATAAAATCTTTCAGCCCATTTTCACACAAATAGGTTATTTCTGTTTGTTTAGCAAAATTATGTTAAGCAAGGAGGATCTAATCCATATTCGAATAAAAACACATCTGACTATGCTTTCAGATGCAAATAAAAATCTCCTCCCTGCATGTTTATCTTTGCTCAGAAATAAGCTTTCTGCAGACAAATATGGGACCAACTAAATCTTACCTACCGCACCTGTATTCCTGTATACTTTGCTAACTGTATTTGCAGCTGAATATTGTGTTACACCACTAGGTGGCAGAAATTAGCTGATTTTGACTGATCTTGAAAGAACTGAACAGGATTGAACCTGCTTAGTACTTGGATAGGATGCCAAGAATGTAGGCTAGACATGGGTTTTCAAACTTCTGTTTGAAACCTGTGGTTGTTATTATTATGATTATTATAATCCCAGAATCCCTGATAAAGAGACCTCTAATAATAAAAAATTGGCTACATTAAAGTGAAATTCTTTTTTCACCCTTAGTCTCTCACAGAACCCCATCAAGTTCTCATGGAACCCTAAGGTTCTGCAGAACATAATTTGAAAAACCCTGTTCTCAACTGGGAAGTGTAAAATCATACACTGTAAGAAAGCAATGGCAAACTGCTTCTACAGTTCCATTGCTAAGAAAATAATCAGGAGTCAAACTTAACCATCCTGAAGATCTTACCATTTTATTGTATGTGTGTGAGGTAGAAATAAACTACCATTGTTTGGGGTTTAAAGGAAGAGACTATTTCTCAGCTCTCATTTTAGCCTGGTTAATTCCTTTATAGTTACTACACTTACAGTCACTCAAAGAGTTTCCAGAAAGTTTGAAGAGTTTTGAGAAATTTGTTCTTCAGTCTGATTTTATCTGCATTTTCTTTTCAGATGTCCATGAATGATAAGGATCACCTGCTTGTTATTGACAATGCAATCCAAACTTTGGATAAAGTATCATCTGAAATGAATAAACTTATTGGTAATTTCTAATGCCACTGTTAGAATAAAGATATGATATGAAGAATGGTGTGAATATGAAAATGTTTCTCTCTCTAAATCAGGGATCTCCAAACTCTTCAGCTCATCAACCCCAAAATATTGATTATATGAAAATAATTTAATAAATACTACTTTAACTAATAAAACTATGAATAATAATAATAATCCTTAATAATTCTTAGGTCCTTGGTTAGGACCTGAATTATTAAGTTTCCACCAGTTTTTGACTGTGAATCTAATTGTAGATTACCCATATAACAACAACAAACAACAATAACAATACTTGGGGGTTAATACTGATCACTTTGGAGAACCCTGCTCTAAATGTATATTAATTTAAAAAAATCTTTTTTTCTAATGTATGATAGAGTAGAAGCTACAGATTAGATGTTCTGTTATTGAAACTGCATAATTTCTTAGAGATACAAGTTATCTGATAGTAATGCTACTGATTGTAATATTCCATTTTTTCTTAATATGTTTTTATGTTTTGGAAAAGAGAGGAAATTATGGGAAGGCTTGGAATAGTGTTGTATGGACTTTGTACTTCAATAGAGTTCTATCAATGAGGCAAAGCAATTGTACAACAAAAGTGTTTGTGATTCTTGGGCAAAAAAATGGTACTTCTAAGACTATACCTCTGAAAACATCTGTTTAGGAATAAGCCCCATTTCATTCACAATGCTTAGATATGAATACATATGGGCATTTAGAACTGAGAGATATGAACAGAATACCTTCAAAAGCAAGGTTGTGCTATTAAATCTTGCTAAGTCAGTATTTTTATGTAATGAACACCCATAAATACACATCCTGAAATAATTTTAATACAATTTATGATGGTACGTTGGCTCTAGACTAGGCCGAAAGATACCAATTTGCCAGAGGCTACTGAATTGCTTCTGTGGTTGAGCAAGGATTTGCATCTAGGTAGCCAGTGTCTAGAAAAAACTGCTATTGGAATTACTGCGTCTTGGTTGTGGTGCCAGGTAAGCATCAGAAAACATTACTTAATGCAAACACTGTTTATAGTGATACAGTTACGGAATGAGAGGTGGGCTGCTTATTTATAATTTGCCTTTAGCTGCTTCAGAGCATAAGTCAGGTCTGCTGTACTTATGAGCCCTTCCAGTCTATTTTGCACCATGGTGTCAGAAATTTCTACATCAGAGTCCCGTGCTGATGGCAATAAACCATGGCATTAGAGTGATTGAATATGTTATTACACATGTTTAATTGTGAAATAAAGAATACTGTATGTACTGTACCCAGAGTTTGTGTAAATCAGTAGGTGGTATATCTTACTGTAATACTGCACAGCCTTAAAATGACTGGAATATGCAAGCATGCATTTTAATTGTGATTTAAAAAAAAAAAGCTTCTGTAGTACTCACACAGGGGAAAGTCCCTAGTTTTCTCACAATGTATTCACCTGCATACCAAGAAAAACTTCCTTTCAAATTTCACACTTTTACCCCAGCTTTCCCTCCTACTTCAGTCATTTCCTAAAGATCCCCAACTAACAGGAGGGGGTTTCTGGCATGGAATAGAATTCTTGTTTGAGTACCCACCTCATGGGAAGCATTAAAAATAGCATGCAGAATTCAACAGATGCCTTTTCTTTTTTCTTGTATTCAGAATTCTATTATAAAATGTTGCCATGCATGCCCAATCACAATAGAATCTTAAAAACATTGCTTTTCCTTCTCAGCCTTTCTACCCAAATTGCATTGTGGAAACAATCATATTACTGTTCCTTAGAGCAACAGATACACATAAGATACTAGAAACAGTACAATGTACAGTTGTTGTTTTTTTAAACAATCAAATGTTGCTTTACAGTAAAAACTGAACTCCTGCTTTGTGAGCTCCTTCTGAACTTTAGTCATCCTGTCCAAGCAGATGCTTCAAGAGAAGATGAGGAAAAGAGTCAAGAAGAGTTTAAAAATAAAAACTGACTATTATCTTTGCTAGCATTTCTTCAGTAGTACTGCTTTCTAAAACATGAATATTTAAAATAGTTAAGAGAAAGGGAAAAGAACTTTACCTTGCTGACTTTCTTAATGTGCTCTTATCATAATGTACTTTGAAATACTTTTGCAAATATGTCTAAAGTTCAGTGTCAGAATTACAGATTTTTAAGCTTGGACGAGTTACTAAAATATTGATATGTAGATTGGCATCACTTAGGAGTGCTGTTGGTGTTTTCTTACTCTCTTTTCCAACGTTTTCCATGAAAGCAGTGGGTGTATATTGTGTAAGCACAGAGAGAGATTGAAAATTAAAAAAAAAAAAAAAGTTGAATCCTCTGTTTCTTTTAGGATAATATTTCTGTACTGTGAAAAAAAATCCAGCATACATTGTACTAAAATACTATTTTTTCTAGACACAAAAACCGTGCCTATTTTTTTCTGAATTAATTCATTTTCACGTTATGTAAAAAATTGTATGATAAGTGTTTTCATATTGGAACATCAGCATACATTTCTTGATATACTACAGCAGAATTTATTTAAGGAAATAATCCAATCAATGTTCAATGTTATATTGGTGCAGTAAGGATTATAAAATATTTTGATTTGTTATATTCTTAACTGAGAATGTTTAGTTGTTGAAACAACTGTGGATTAAATAAAATTGACCTGTATAAATGCAATTATTGACAGGTAAATGTTTCATAATTGTTTTCCTGAAGATTAAAGCAAACTTGCAGTAGATAACCAATTTTCTGGAAATGTTTTCTGTTGGGGGGAGGAGGGCCTCATTCATCGATCATTTGAAATATCATGTTACATCCTGCTTTAGCACAATGTGAACAAACCACTGGGGGCTTGCACTAATGCATTCCCCCTCCCCTCCCTTCCTGCTGTGCTCAGAAGTTTTTACTTCTTTTTTTTTAAATCATAGTTTGTCATGAGATTGGCATTAATCATGTTTAGTTTAAGAGAGAAAGCTTCAAACATGGTTTATTCCATAGTTAATTTTAATCACATTTAATAATTGATTCTTATTTCATCCAGATAAATAAACTGGAGGCAAATGCTTCCAAACACTGTATCCTAGACACATAGGAGGAAGGGGATCTTCAAAGTTGAGGTTCACTGTAATTTCTTGACACTATAGTATGCTTTGGTGTGATGTTCAAATGTTCTTTCTATTTCTGGATAAGGTAAGAATATACAAGCTTTACACTGCAACATGTAAATCAAATATCCAACAACTATATTATAATCTGACTTTAAAATATTAATATTCTGTTCCTATCCAAGAAGAATATAATGAATAGCTATTGACCAAATGGTTTAAGTCACTAAAATACTTTTTTCAGGAAATCTACCCCTTCCATCCACTCCTTCATCTTTGCATTTTGTAAGATACATTATGAGATGTCCTTATTAATATGATACATCTTTTGGGGTCATTTCAACTTTTTTTAGCAGTATAAAATAAATGAATAATTATTTGTTTAACTTGGGCACCAAAATATAATAAGTATGTTAATGACAAAAAATACAATCCAGCCAAATTGCAATGGCAATTTAATTGAAAATATACCTGCTAGTAGGTCAGAATGACAATTATCTAAAATTAAAGGCAAATGATATTGAATGATTCATACAGAATTTAATTTACATTCCATGGTTCCAAGAACAATAAGAATATTAATAGGGCTGTCATATGTATTATGAGAGTTCATAATATATAATAGCTTTGTTCAGAAGATACAAATGATAGTGCATGGAAGACTGCAAGAGAAACAATTAGTTCTCTGACAAATGTTTAAGTGGGAAAATGACTACCAAAAAAAAAAAAAAATCCTTTGACTTGATGATTTTGCAACTAACCAATGCCATCATATATGGAACACAATAAACAAATGTTTTCACTAAGAACAGACATTAGCATACATGCTGTTTGATAACATCAGAAAATATCTGTTAAGCTACTTTGAATGAATCTGTTATTATAACATTTATATGGAAAATGTATATAGAACTACTGTCTAGAAGCCATCTTTGTCCTTGAAGAAAAATGTTCAGTAATAATAAGACACAGTCTACTAAGTGTATTTCAGTTCCTGGATATTACACATATGAAATTTTTCACTGAAAGTGTGTACTTAATGACTCCCATACTAAAGGAAAAAAAGGGATAACACAACAATAACCTTCATAGTGTAACATGAAAATACAGATGAGAAATTATCTCAGTTCACCCAATACAAATCTGTTACTTCTTTAGCCTGAAAAGACTAAGTGGAATTTGAGCTTGATCTTCATGCATTTTCTCTTCTAAAGTGTTCCAGCAGCATACGTTAACATGCATTGCTTCCTTGAACATCGATCTTTTCCATCTATCAATAGAAGGGGCATTCGTCTGAAGTAATCAATGATGTCAGCCACTGAAGTGAAGTCCTGTATGATTTACAAAATACCTTTCAGTTATTCCCATCACAGAAATAGTTCAAGCAACTTCATTTTGCTGTCAGAACCTGCAGCAATCAAAATATTAATCAACTAGAGGCCTGCTTTATTAGAGTAGTAAATGTCTGTTTTAGAGTAGTAAATGTTTGTTCTTTTTGAACTTAACACGAGTTTCAAGAGATTTTTCTTCGTTGGGATTTGAACATAGCAGACCTGACATTTGCCTTCTCTGTAATAATTTCATTTTATGGAATTACTCGTTTGAGGACACATCAGTGGATCTTTAGTTACTAATATTTTTCCAGATTTGATTCTGCTCAGTTCATATATACAGATTTTGGAGAACATTTGAGGAAGAAGCAATGTGACTGTCTTAGAAAGTCCTATGTTTAATAAGCCTGCATAGTGGAAAGATTATGATGTTAGGAGAACGATGCCACAGCATACCTCATTTCCTTTCAAGCTAGTTCCTAAGAAGTAGACTTGATCCTCTTGTTGATAGCGTATCTGGATATTGTAAACTTTGTTGTGGTAAAGCACCATTAGAACAAATGGTTGCTGAACTGTTTTTCTGGAGCTGTCTCTTACTAAAAATGCACCATCCTAAAAAAGTAACATATTAAAATGTTTTTAAGAAAAAGTATTGTCACAACAGCCATATACATTCAATCAATCAATAAATAACTGGAACAGGTTTGATTGCATTTTTAAGTATTTAGCCATTATCTTATACACATATGTACCAGAGTTTCTCAACCTCAGCAATTTTAAGATGTGTGGATTTCAACGCCCCGAATGCCCCAGCCAACATGAAAACCATGTGTCTTAAAGTTGCTGAGGTTGAGAAATACTGATATATAATGACAATAACATTTAAATCTTTACCTGGTTTATATTCCTGAGGGCAACTTCTGCATCTGACCGGGTGATATCAGCAACATACCACTTTTGATTTTGTTGACCCTGATGATCAGTTAGCCAAATGAGAAGAGAAATGCAAAATGTGTTTATTACCATAAAAATGGATGTGAAATTTTGAAATATATTTAGGAAAGTATATATAACATTTAAGATGTGAAATGCTTTGCTGAAAAAAGATTCAACTTCTGGGAATTGATTTTGCTTATGTTGCTGTATATATATGTTTAATGTAAATAAACAAATTATACTACATTTTCTTTAAATATTTTTTTTCCTTCGTTCCTTTTTGAGGCCATTCTAAAATATTTTGCACCTTGCATGTATTTAGTTTAATAATGCTTCTATGCAATTGTCTAAATTCTATCTTAAGGCAGAATTACCAACTAATTACCATAACTGGAGCTTTCACCATACCCAGAAGCATTTTCTTCATCTCCTCTCCTCTCCCCACTACATTTTTTCTTTGCTTAAGAGTCTATCTGTAAAGAAGTTCTGCTAAAGATAAAAACTAGCTATTTTCTTCATAGTATATAATACAATTTTTAATACTACTGCCTTGTAAAGTGATATTATAGGGTTTTTAACAGCAAACAATGATGGAAGCAGAACAGCGGGAAAAATCTAAGTTTAAAAAGTTGTAGTTTAAACAAAGAAGGGCCTTAGTTTGATCTGAGTTTTGACTGTGTACTCTCTTGCGCAGCACAAACTTTGTTATCACATCCCTAGCCCATAATTAGACAGGGTCAAATCATTCTTAACTCAGTTAGCTTTTTCCTCTTTTCTGACACCAGTGGTACCTTGAGGTTTATAAAATCTGTTAGCTTGGACCGTTCCTCACTGGTAAGTTAAAATATTCAGTTATTTTTAAATTGCTATAATTCTATACCAGCATAGAATTTGTTGTCCCTATTGCTGATTCCTATTGTCTCTGTTTTAGTTTTCCACCAAATGGTGGTGTCCTGATCTCATATGGGCAGAGCATGTTAAGCAAAATGATTAGTTAAATCTGGTGGATTTGCTGCTCTTCCCTCTTCTGGATTAAGGAGCTGGCAGGAAACTATTCATAGCATAACAGTGAATGTGAGGATGGGGTGGCCATGTGCCTTGGGGAGGGGGCTAGTTTTGACATGTGGCTTAACTGGGGTACTCTTGCAGATATACTTCCCAACTCTGCAAGCCACAGCCATTCAATGGGCTTGGGGAAAGTGAAAAGTTTCAAAGATGTGATCTCCTGCTATCCTCCTCAGAATGTTGTGCTCTTTCAAAGTTTTGCATCTCTACAATTTTTGCAAGAAACCAACAGTCTTGTAGATGTGAAAATTTTGAAAGACCGCTAAAGAGCACACTAAAGAGTGCTGCTGTTCCAAAATCCATTATTGCCACAAGCCTGCTCCCCAACTCTTTCTGTGGAAGAGGGGAAAAAATGGTATTGGAGGAGAATGCTTGGAAGGGAGCAGGTGTGCCAGTATTAAGTGGCCAATAAGTGCTGGACTGTACCCATATCCTAACTGATTGCACTATTATCTGCATAGGCAGCACGATATGTCAGATTTATCAGTCTTGGACTGACACTTGATGCTATCAACTTAAGGGGAAACACTACAGGTGGTCCTCGTTTAGTGACCACAATTGGGACAGGCAACTTCATCGTTAAGCAAAGCAGTCACTAAGTGAAACAGTGACTGCGCTTATGATCTTACTTCAGCTTTCCTTTGCTTTATAGATTTGCAAAGATCATAAATGTGAGGATTGGTTGTAAAGTTACTGTTTCATCACTGGTGTAACTGCAAACAGTCACTAAATGAGGCAGTCGCTAAAGAAGGACTACCTGTATTTCAGTGCTTGTACAGGTAAGGGCTACTTAAGGCTATCTCATCCATGGCCTGAGTACAAAATGGAAACAATGTCATGTTTCATGGAGACACAGTAGATTCAGCAGACCAAAGATATTGTTGCTATGGGAAGACTGTCCCATGATTAGATACAAATGAGGAAAGGCCTCTAGTCACCCATTACCTTGAAACAAAGTCAGGTGACTGGCAGTGATTGAAAACAGGCAGTTGAGACAGGATTCAGACTGGCAATGCAGATGGCAAATTTCATGCTGACCTAACTTTCTGCTAACTCGAAGATGGGTGGTGAGTACTTGAACTGAACGGTGGGGGAAAGTCCTTGTTCTGCCTTCTTTTTAATGAAAAATTTGCACTCTGATGTTTTATGTTTTTGTGGAATTTAGCTCTCACTGGCCCTTCATACTAAAGCCATAAAAGCAAGGAATAGCCAAAGGGGGGAAAACTGCATGGCTGAACCTATAAAAAGCCTCCACTTTATGTAGAGGAGATCATATGACAAGTTTCTTTATACATTTTCCTACAAAGCCTCTTTTTTTATTTAAATAGTAAAAGTACACATCTTTGTGCTGGTCTTTACTGTTGACTTCAACTTGCCTTACCTACCATCTTATCATGTCCACACACTGATCCTTTGATTTCACATGTATCAGCTGGGTCTGAGATTCTACTAAATAAATCACCTGCATGTTCCAATATGTATTTAACTTTTCTTGACGATATTTGAATACCTTATGACATTGTTCCACTCCTTCATTATCAGCTTTAGGAAATTCTGCATTTGGTCTACTGGGAATTGGTAATGGTGGTCTGCTATCTGCTGGGTTCTTGGAAAAGGTTCTGGAGAGATTGCCTTCAGAAACATTAAACATGTTTAGAAATTAAAGTTAGTTCACTGAACTGATATTGGGATATAGTTAAGGAATCTATTTCTTGGGAACCAGATGTACTTAACATTGACCCAAAGATTTAGATTAATACTGTTTTGCTGTAGCTTAAATCCAATATACAAATTGATTAAAAATAGACTGTATCATCCACAAACTTTCATAGGGGTGGAATGGGTTCCACACAAACACATTGGTAGCTTACTGGGGATGGGACAAATTCCAGAAATTTTCGATTTGCAAGATCCACCAGAGACATGCTTTTTCACGGTAATGTACACACAGGAGAGGTTACTCCTGTCTATCTGGTGTCAGCAGAGCAGAAGCAGCAAATAGACAAGTAGATGATGTTCACTGATCTTCTGTGATAAATGATGTACTAATTGGTTATAAGATACATAGCATGCCATCTGCTGATCTTTGCCTCCACAAGTAGATAGCCATGGCTATGATAGCTACCTTTCGCTATCCTGCCCTAAATAATGATTCCGTACTCCTTGTATATGTAAAATGACCACACACGCTCTTTAAAGGGCCATCTTAATTGCTCATAAATTTAATACCCATATTTATTGCCATGTAGCTATACATATCCCCACCATTTTGTAATTATATCACTAGTTCAAAATTAAAACAAAAGGCAGTATATGAAGTTGTATATGATCTGAAACTATAGGAAAATATGGAGAAGAATAGTGAATGGTGTTGGATAAATTAGCTTCATGTTTCTTTTTTATCTCATGTCTTTAATTTATTTGTCTTGCTATTTCTTATTCCTTCTCAGTGATACACAGGTCACTGGTGCTTTATACATTTGCATTAACACACATATGTTATGGTTGTCCAACTGAAAAGATTTAATGAGACATTAGGTTTCAATATCTGCAGATTATCTCAAAATACAAGCTCAACATTCATAAAGTATTTCTAAAATACATACTTGGCAGAAGCCGTGGTGGTAATGATACACTTGAGGAAATGCTGTAATAAAAACGAAGAATGATTAGGATATACAGATGAATTCTGATACACTGTTAATCTCCAGCTATAGAAACAGTAATGTTATCAAAAAGTTCAATTTTATTGTCACTTTTTGCAATCTTCATTAAATGTAAATCAGGGATTACCTTTATTCCAATTCTTTATTCTAGAATTCTTGAAAACCACTAATATTTAGCAATACTTTTATAAAAGTACTGTAGGCTAAGAATCATCTAAAGCAAATTCTAATACTGATAGTACTTTGGGAGCTTTAGATGCATCTGGATCAAGCCGGAAAGACATGTTTTAATGGAATATATTGCAATTTCAGCTTTAGACAATACACATTCCTGTTATAATAATTGAAACAATTTAAAGACTTGATTGGCAATCAGTTGGTTAAAAGTGTTTGTTTGTTTGTTTGTGTGTTTATTTATTCATTTGTTCACCTTATAAGGCTGCCTAATTCACTGTGCAATTGTGGGCTAACATCTCATTAAAAGCAAGAGAAAAAAATCAGAACAAAAGTAATCACATACACATGCATATACACGCACACACACACACAATTAAACAAGTTAAAAAAAACAAGTTCATCTAACCTATGCCCAATGGGAAAAACAGGTCTTCAACACCATATGAAAGGCCAGCAAGGTCAGAGCCATCTAGATCTTGTGGGGTAAGCTGTTCCACAGGACAGGCACAGCAAAAGAAAAGGCATACCTCTTGGGTCCTACCAGATGATATTGTTTAATAGAAGAGACCTGGAGCATTCCACTTATCAGATCTTATGTGATAAGCAGAAATTTTGGAGACAGGTGGTCCTGCAAATAACCTCATCTTGTGCCATGCAAAGCTTTGCAGGTAACAACTGGCACCTTGAAGTGTACCGAGATATTTACAGGGAGCCAGCGCAGTTTACAAGCACATACCATGGTATGCTGAAAACTGCCTGTGTTGCTGCATTTGAGCTAGTTGCAAGTTCTGAGTGGTCTTTAAGGGTACATAGCAGTAATTCAGATGGGAGATGACCAAGGTGTGATTGTGAGCATGGCCTTCCAATCTATGAATGAGCTCAATTGGTGCACAAGACTTGTGTAAAGGCCCTTCTGTCCACAACTGCCATTTGCTCTTCCAGCAGGAGATGAGAGTCCAGGAGGACCAAATAGCACACTAGTTCCATGTGGGGTAATGCTACCCAATATAGAGCTAATGATGGAAGGTACTCAAATCAGAAGGGCCTTAAAGCCCACAGCCACTTAGTGTTGCTAGGGTTAAAATTAAAGTATGTTCCTCCCTATAGCCCCCACAGCCTCCAGATACCAAGAAAGAATCTTAGTAGTATAACTTGGTTGGCCTGTGGCAGAGATGTATAATTGGGTATCATCAGCATAATGACGGTATCTAACCACATGCTGATGAGTGAATTCATCCAACAGCTTCATGTTAAGTAGGAGTGTGGAAAGAGTAGAGCCCTGAGGAACTGGGCAAAGCTAGGCACAGGACAAAGGCCTCTCACTCTACCAACATTGACTGGAACTGACCCCAGAAGGAGGAGAATCACTACAATATTGTGTCCCCACTCCTCCTGAGCCCGTCCAGAAAGATATCATGATTGATAGTATCAAAAGCCACTGAAAGATCAAGAAGGTCCAGGATAGATGTACCACAACCATGCTGTTCTCACCAGAGATCATCCACAAGTGCAATCAATTTCCCCTCAATACTATATCCAGATATGAAACCCAACTGAAAAGGATCCAGATAATCTACTTCCTTGAGGGCCCTCTGAAGCTGCATCCTGAACACTTTCTCAATGAACTTCCCTAAAATGGGAAGGTTGGAGACAGGACAAAAATTGCCCAATGTGGGGTCCAGAGATTGGGTCCAGCATTGGTTTCTTGAGGAGGGGATGAACCACTGCCACTTTCTTAAGCAGAGAGGGGAACATATTTTTATTGGGGGGAGGGGCACTCTTGATTTCCAAAACGAGGATATAGCTACTACTTTCAAATTGGTATTGTCCCAGAGTGAAAGTTTATCATGTGAATAAAGAATAAAATTATACTTCCATTGGACAGCTTTCAAATGTGCCTTGAAACCTTTAATACAAGAAATATTGTAGATCTGTGGCTAAAACAAGAACCAAACCCTTGCCTCAATGACAAAGGAGTTACATACATATTTCCAATTGTGTCTATACTTTTTGGGGGGGTTGATCACTTATGTTCCATAAACAAACTGAAGCAAAAATGTAAGCTCAGTGATAAAAGCTGAAAGTCAAGAAGTTAAACCATATATCAGCGTTTCTGCACCCCTATATGAGGCTGTATCTTACTTTCCTGGCCCTATTCCATCCTCACTCCATCTTATTTATAGAAATAGGGAAATAGTTGGTAGTCTCAGACCAATGCTAAAACATTTTTATTTGTCTGTTAATTTTATAAATGTATATTAAATTATTATAAGCCTTAGCTGTTTGCCTATTGGATTTCCATTGCAGTAGACCATGCTTTTAGATTAAAAATCTTAAATATATTTTTATGCAAGTTTCTTGTTTCAGACTTCTTAATTATTAAAAGGATACTAGTCTAGCATTCTAACATACTACATCGTTATTAAAAGAATCTTATTTATATAATTAAATGATGAATAATAAGTTGCAGCATAAATTAATTGCTTACATTGAGTTGTCAGTTCATTCAACTAACCTTTCTGTGTATAGATCAGGCTTCGTCTTGGGTGGCAAAGGAACTAAATTAGACTGTGACTTAGTAGTTCGGCAAGGGAAGGTGTTAAAGGGCTGCGGTGATGGCTGTGGAACTGGCCTTTGGGGAATATCTACAGAGAACAACAAAAACAAACAATTGACAAAAAACATTTCACTGGGTGTGCAAAAAGCAAAGTTCATGCTAAGGATCATTCAAAAAGGGATTGAAAATAAAAATGCTAACACTGTAATGCTCTTATCAAATCTGTGATACATCTTCATCTAGAATCTGTTTATGCTGTGATACATTCTTCATCTAGAATGCTGGGCCTGGTAGCCATCTTTGGCTACTGAGAAGGGCAACCAAAATTATCTGAGGGCTCAAACACTTTCTCTACAAGAAAAGGCTAGAATATGTGGAACTCTTTAGCTTGGAAAACAGGCAACTGAGAGGAGACATGAGTTAGGGATATAAATTCAAGCATGGCGTGGAGAACATGGATACAGAAAGTTTTCTGACTAACTCAAAACACTTGTCCAAGAGCCATCCAATAAAGTTGATTGGAAGGAGATTTAAAACACACAAAATGAAGCACTTCTTCACATTAACTTGTGGAATTAATAACCACAAATGTAATAATAGCCATTAACGTGGATGGCTTTAAAAGAAATTGGATAAATTCTTGGAGGACAGCTTTATCAAGAGCGATTGGTCTTGAAGATTCAAAGTTTACTCTGACTTAGGGGCAGCATGCCTCCAGATAGAATTCGCAGGGGAGCAATGGTGAGAATGCGGAATCTATCTATCTCCTCTTTTGAGCACCCTAAAGGCATCAGGTTCACTACTGTGAGAAACAAAATGCTGGACTAAATTGGGCTTTGGCCTGATCCAGCAGGACTCTTCTTACATTCTTAAGCATTCACATGAGCTGTATTATATGCTATAGCAAAATAATTGAGCAAGGTCAACACATTAAAGTCCTATTCGTGTTTGTGTGATGTTATTGGACCATACTTTCTATATGAACATCTAAGAAGACTTCTAATAAGTTGAATCCATGTTGCATGGTCACTACTGGCTCCAAATTTGCTCACTAATTCCATATCAAGTACAGTTTGATAGCATTCTTAGCATACACTATTGTTAGCAATGCAGTGGAATAAGTAAGTGGTTCAATGCAAATTGAACTTAATCCCCATGGAAGTTCCTTCCTTCAACTTCTTCTCCAGAACTAATTTCTTCTGAGATATCTTTGGTCTCATTCCTTAGTATTAAGTTTTAACAGAAAGGAAGACTAAATAGGTTCACTGGGTATTATGATATTAAAGTAAGAATAATACATTACATACTGTCAGGTTCCATCTGAAAGAAACATAAAATAAATTAATATTAGTGTTGCCAGTTCTTTATTGATTAACTGCATGAGTTTCACTCAGTATATCAACATATAACTTGTACAAAGGTTAAAGAAATCAAAGGAAATATATCTTTCAGCTAATGCAGGAACATGCATGTACATGTCATAACAGGCATTATCTTAGAAGAGGTAAGAAATATTTTTAAGATAGCACGCTGCTATGTTTTCCTTCCTTCCTTCCTTCCTTCCTTCCTTCCTTCCTTCCTCCCTCCCTCCCTCCCTCCCTCCCTTGTAAATAATTTTCATAACAACTTACAATTTGCCTGATTCTGGACATCTATTCAATAAATCATCACATCTGTAATTATTTTATATAGTTTATAGTTTTAGATCTAATTAAGTTTTGCTAAAGATGATTTTTGAAAAGTTTTATTTATGGACTGGGGAAGAATTGATATCTAAGGTCAGCCTTCCTCTTTTTCGAATCCTTTTGGCAACAAATTGATTGGGGTCCTCATAGCTTTCAAAAGGTTAAGTGTGGAGAATGAACAAACATAATGACCCAAAATTATTTTTCCTAGAGACTATTTCTTTAGTCTCTAGGGAATTTAGGGAGGATACTTCCACACAGACACTCAGCTTTGCCCCAGTGCCCTCTGAAGCATTTCTGCACTACTTCGTCAAGGTTCCCCTGTTGCTCACCTTGTTGCCCTCCATCGTCCCATTGAACTAACCATCACTCCCTCCAACTAGCCCAGGTGGAAGTGTGAAGAATGGCAGCCAGACAACCATCTACTCCCATTCTCACTCTTCCATCATTGCATTTATTGTGGTAAGGAAACAAGAATATAGGAGCAGCAGAGTCATCCCCAGAAGTTTCGGGAACTTGGGAGAAAATCACCAAGGTGCCATGGAGCCTTGGCTGCAGAGGAGAGGGGCAATCCTGAGACGCAGGAAGATGGGAGTTCCTGCCAGTTAGAAGCCATCTGCTGTCAAGCCCCTGAAGAAACACTACAAAGCTGTCTCTATGGGACTTCCCTTTCTAGAGAGCCAGGGAGAGGGCCTTGATACAAATACAGTATTCAGAAGCCATTAATTAAACAAAGAGGACAGAAGTGTTTCTTAAATCTTGGGAGGAGAGATAGTATTAAGAAGAGACTCAGGATAATTCCTCTCTGACTGAGGAGAAGCACAATCAGACTTGCAAGACTCTGTGACTATCTCAGTAAAGTATAGCTCTAGTCTTCCTATGGAGTTGGTCTCCTGATCTGGTCTACTTCAAAGGGCTGACCCGCCTGCCTCAGCTTGCAACCACATAGGCACTTTCCCCATTGCTGGGGAGATAAGAGGAGTTTCTTCTACTCTATACTGTGCTGTTGGCAGCACAATGTTGGGAAGGTCTGTTTTAAAATCTTCCACAATTTGGGTAGGTAGCATGTAATAAACTTACTGTAAAAGAAACCAGAGTGTTAAAGGCTCAGCTTCTAATTTATCACTTAAATTAACCCTATTTGAACCCACTTTATTAAGGAAGCAAACAGATCCTGGAAACTAGTTCAAGGATTAGTGAGATTCAAATTGGAAGCTCTAAAAAAGATCAAATATAAGAAGTTAAATTGAGAACAGACTACAGTTGACGTTTTCAAAGAGAGATATTATATACAGATATACTTACTTCTGTCTGTCTTTCAGGCATCTGATTGTTCCTAGAAAACAAGTAAAATTAATAGTACTTTCTGCAAATACTATTTAATAAAATTGTTGATCTATTTAAGAAATAAAATACAAAATAAATCTCAGCAAGTAGAATTGCATTATCAGTAATTGAAATGGCATTTACTTTTCTAGGTAATTTGTTGTTCTAAACAAAGAAAAGTCATTTTGGGCAAAAAAAGGAAGGTAGTTGCTTTGCTCTTCCTGGATGAACTTAAACAGGAGAGTTGAAATACAAAACCTTTACTTAGTGCCTCTGTTTATGCAGTATGCTAAGCCAAAATCAACCACGGTTTAATATGCAGTATGAATTGGACATTGTGGTTTGCAAACCATGCTATATAGATGGTTCATTAAGTAGAATATGGTGAAGCAAACCATGCTTTAACATGTTAGGCAGATTCAACCTTTGCCTATATATCAGTGTGTATATAATTAGCCTGTCCAGCATTGCAAATTAACTTTTCAATATATACCAGAGGAAGTCCTATGCATTCTTCCTCTTGCCAAGTGAATTGCAGAGAAATCTAAACATTAGAGCAGTTTAGGGGGTAGCTGAATCCAAATTCTTTAAACGTGGGCAAGGGGGTTTAAAGAGCAGCACTGATTGCAAAGCCCTGCCACTGAACTTTTCCCCTGTCTCTGCTCCTCCCTAAACCACCTTCCTGGAGTTGTTTTAATCCTAGTAGTGTTCATAACTTATTTCAAAAAAGGAGAAATAAGGACTTAGAAGGCAGGACAGGTAGTCCTCATTTAGCGACTGCCTCATACAGCAACCATTCGCAGTTACAATGTCAATGAAAAAGTAGCTTGTGAATAATCCTTGCATTTACTTCAGGAAAGCTGAAGTAAGATCATAAGCACAGTTGCTGTTTCAGTTAGCGACTGCTACGCTTAATGCCTGAGTTGCCAGTCCCAGTTCTGGTCGCTAAACAAGGACTACCTGTATTATGGGGCAATCCTGACAGATGAGGAAAAATAGCTAAGGAAGGAATTTTCATGCGAAGCATTTATGTCCCCTTCTTTAGGTTAGCAGAACAGATATTAACACACAAAATGGGCTACTGACAATACCTATTTGCATTTCAGTTATGTGACATTCTGGTATATTTGTGTTAGAGCTTAAAAATGAAAATGTGGTTTTCAGAGCTCTTTCAAAAGAACACTAGAGGGCACTTTGCTAACAACAAGTACATAGAATTGTTTTCAAGAGACGTAGCCCACCAGTGCACAGCACCTGTCTAGGCTAATGCTGAATTATTTAAGTTTTACAGATATAGTTACTTTATGGGTGGCAGAACCCTCCTAGAGGAAGGACTGTTTTTTTCATATCTCTCAGTTGGTGGCAGAGGAGGCTTCTGTATCTTTGCTAAATCTTCTGCCAGAGACCTAAAAAGGGAGAGAGAGAGAACAGCATTTGAAGGAGAATTTCTTTGTATTGTGTCAGACTCTTTCGCTAATTCTGATGGTTTATATTACAGAAAATTAAACATTTACCTGAGTTTTGGTGTCAGAGCCTGGAAAGAAGGAAAGACAAGGATAAATAAAAAAGTTGAAAAATAAATTAAAATATTGTAGGAGTTTACTAGAATAAAGCCATCTCTTACCATTTCAGGAAAAGCTCGTTTGCCTTAATTAAAAAAAAAATGAAAAGAGGGAAGAACAATTAGTTATCCATCACTGGATTCAGAAATCTAGACAGCTGCATTGACTTTAAGAGAAAGTCATGATTGAAAGTCAGAGCATATTAACATACTATTATGAAGAAAAAAAATGTAGTAATGCCATCCTCTCATAGAACATGTTAAAATATTCATATTTTACGGAATCCTTGGTGTTCTCTGAGCTTGGTTGTTTTCTTGCAGATGTTTCATTACCCAACTAGGTAATGTTTTCCTTGCTAAAAGGGAGTGGGGTTTGCTCTCTGTTTATATATAGTAGCTTGCCCTGTCAGTGTTGGTGGGGGTGTTATTTTCTCCATGTTGGTTGTTTTCTCCTTGGTAGTAATCCATGGGAACAGTACTACACAACACATCCAACCTAACCAAATACACTAAGATTGAAATACGCAGAATCATGGACCTCATCAACCTTTGCCTCACTACCTACATTTAGTTTGATGAACAAATATCCCACAAGTTAGAAGAACACCCCAGGAATCAGGACTCATAGCAGAGATTGTAATGCAGCATCTAGAAACTATAGCACTTCCATGCATACAACCAAAGTATGGATCCGGTTTGTAGATGATACCTTCAACATGATAAAAAAGGAACTACTAGAGAAGATACTGTACATGAAACAATCAACAACCTCTTCAAAGGAATAAAATTCACAAGGGAATAAGAAGACAACTACACACTACCCTTCCTGGATATCCTCATCAGCCAAGGAAATGGTGGCAAATTAGAAACAGAAGTCTATCAAAAAACAATCCACACTAACCAAGTGCTCAGTTACCAAAGTAACAACCCAACCTCTCACAAGAGGAGCTGCGTAAGAACATTATTCAGATGAGCACAAACATACTGCAGCAACCCTGAACAGCAGAAGAAGGAAACAGACCACCTGTACAACATCTTCCAACAAAATGGATACCCATGCAACTTTATCAAAAAGTGCCAGACCACTCAACCCACTACAGTACAGCACAACCAACACAGGCTATGAAAAGGATAACACTGCCATTCATCAGAAACATCTCAGAAGCAACCAACAGACTATTACAACAACATGGCATCACAAACCAACTAAAGCCCTCCAAAACATCTTAAGTAAATCAAAAGACCCAATAACTCAAGAAGAAAAAAAAGGAGTCATACATACAACATACAGTGTAAGGACTGTAACAGCCACTATGTAGGACAGACAAGCAGAAGACTAGCAGAGTGGATCCATGAACACCAATTCACAGTCAGAAGACAAGCTAAATCCAAAAATGTGAGAGAATTCCTGGAAGCTTGGTATTCAGACAAGTCAGCCATCAACAAGCACATAGAGATAAACACACCATTCAAAAGAGACAATAAAAAGGAAACAAAAAGATCAGAACACCTCCTCACCAGCAATCAACACCCAGATAAACAGGGATTAACACCAGGATTAACACCAGACAAACAAGCAGTAAACTATACCCTAATCAAGGATTACCAACTCAGACAAACCATCAAGCAGTAAACAACAGCCTATTCTAGGATCTACCAAATTAAAAACAGCACCCCCACCAACACTGACAGGGCAAGCTACTGTATATAAACAGAGAGCAAACTCCACTCCATTCTAGCACTGAAGATGTTACCTAGTCGGGTAAACATCTGCAAGAGAACAACCAAGCTCAGAGAACGCCAAGGACTCCGCAGTTCAACCCTGAGCTACAGATATTCCCTTCTATTGGTATTCATGTTTTACTTGGAGGTAGAGCACACCCATGTTGCTGTGTGGACAGAACTTCAATGTAGCATCCCTAACTAGGCCTTAACAGGAGAGTCCCCTAAAGGAAATCCTTGTTGTGAGTAGCAGTTGCATGGTGGAGTTCTTTTTCAGACCTCTGTGCTTGATACATGAGGGCTTGGAATCAGGGTAGCTCATCAGGGACACAGTGTTGAGGATGGGACCATCAGTGTACTCTGCTGTTGCTGCAACCCACGACTGCCCTGCTCACATTTGGTTTTATGTGAATGGGGCTGTCACCCTGTACAATAACCCTGTAGAAATGTTTCACATCATAATACGTGATGACAACGTAGGAGTAAATAAATCCATAATTTGGCCAGTTTGATGACAAGAACATTATCTTAACACTGCCTGTTTCCTTTCTCCTGGGTGTATATGATGCAATATTCTCCAGGAAGACCGCAAGAACATTTCAAAGTCATGCTCTCAGATTTGCACTAACCTGGATTCATTTCTAAATGTAAAGGATGTTGAGGTTGAAATTAGAAATGTTCTCTTTCTGGAATGCCAAAAGAAATTACAATGCCCTTTGAGAAACTGCTTTAATGTTAAAGTCCATTAACCGTGCTGCCTTAAGCATGGTGTGTTCTTGTTCTTTTATTTGATAGATCAATCAACTAGCCTCTTTAGGGGAGCTCTCTCTTCCTTGTTGAAAACAAAAATTATGGAGTCCCATTTAAAATGTTCTTGCAAAGAAATAATAACACTTTTTATCTTCAGCTTTATACTTCTCTAAATTTATATTCTGACCTTTGTCCAATTTTTCTGTGGTTTGAAGCATACACTACAATAACTTCTGATATTTATAACAATCTTCCTCATCAGACTCATCAAAATTATATCTCGGTTGAAAAACCTCTTGCTAACACTTGCCCAGTGTGTTCTGAAACTATACTTTTCATCTCATCACCATCTATTTTGTAATAGCCTGCAACATATATTTGTCCACTGCCTTCTCTTTTTTCAGGCAATGAACAAAGCCCACAGTTAAAAAGTGATGGCCATAAATACATACTAACCAGCTCCAAGGCTTTCTCTCTCAAAGGGGGGCCCAGGTCGATCCAGTGGTGGTTTTTTGCTTCTGTCGACAAAAGGAGCTGGTGCTGGAGTGAAACCAAAACAGATATTGGATCAGATATTGTGTTAGTATCTCCATGTATCACTTCCACAACACAAAGTCATCTTACTCACTTTTAGAATTCTAATAACAACTTCGATTCAAGAATTGATTAAGCTTAAAGATTAGCTTTAACTGCCTGGATGTAATAGCACAATTTGGAGTGCTGTTGATACCCACATTTTTTTTTTTTACTCTATCAAAAACCCTTTACAAAATAAAATCATTTTAAAAAATCAACATGTATTCAAATTAGGATTGTGGAAAGGTTGGGAAGGCAGAAGGAATTTTTGCTTTGAATAGTGGAAATATGTTAAATGCAAGAAAGTAAACACACTTACGTTTAAAGAGATTTGCACTTTTGTCTCTGTAATTCTCATTATTGTTTGAAGGAGAACTGAAAGGTGGCTGCTGAAACACATTAACAATAAAATAATAAAACAGAGTGTATTTAACAGTATGGTACCTAACTTGATTTTAATTTGTTGAAATTATTTTAGGACACTCCAGAGGTGCCAACAAGGTATCAGAATGAGCAAGTAATATAGACCTGCCCCTTCTATCTTCCATAAATACCCTTTATATCTGAATGGATATCGAAGTAGGCTAAGATATAAATAAAAAGTTTCCTTCAAGTCATGCTTGAATCCTGGTGACTTCCTACACATGCCTATTTAGGGGTTTTGACAATAACATATAAATGATTTGCCTTTGCTTTCTTCCACACTGTTTTGTTTCTACGTCCCAGGCTAGACTATGGCCCTGCAGGTTGCTCATCCAAGTATCAGCCAGGCCTAACCCTGCTTTGTTTTTCAAGATCAGCCAAGGTTGGGGTGGGGTGGGGGTGCTGCTATTCATTTGACTGAGATACCTCTAAATTTATTTATACTTTAGAATCCTTATACTGAAGAAGGCCTCTTCAACTCTGAGATGCAGAGTATGGCCTGAAGACACTCTATAGAGAACAAAGCAAACACTTCAAGACAGTTTGGGTAAGTTATGCCAGGAAGATTATACAGAAATGCAGACATTGCTATACAGCAGTCCCTCATGAAACAGAAGTAGGTAGCTATGTTTTTAATCCTTAGGAGAAATAAATATAAAAATAAATTATTTGAACTTCCAGGAAACATACCCCAAGGCGTCTGCTTCGAGGTGCTCCTGGTACAGGGCTGGGGCCAGGCCTCTGTGGTGGAATGGGAGGCTGAAGAGACGTTTTGCCTCTCTCTGTTGCAGGTCTATCTAATAAAAGCAAGCACATTTACAAAACACACACAGCCCTTTTCATTGTGTGGGCTATTTATTTATTTAACATATTTCTATGTTGCCACAATCAAAACAGCTCTTGCAGCTTCCATAGGGGAAAATATACATAAAAGACACCCAATATAAAAATAAAAAGCGCCACAATTCAAAGAAGATAAAAATAAAAATAAATCAGGGAAGGTCTCTCCAAAACAGCATGGTCTTTAAGAGCTTCTGAAAGACCAGCCACAAAGAACCTAACCTGACCTCTACAAGGAGGCTGTTCTACAGTGTCAACACTGCAACAGAAAAGCAGTGCCTGAAACTCCCAAAATATGTTTTTGCACCAATTTCTTCCTGTTAGATCTAGTCAGTCAGGCTAAAACTGGCTGGAGAAGGTAGTATCCGTAGGTATCTGGATGCCAAGCCATGAAGGGCTTTATAGATCAAAAACAGGACCTTAAATTGGACCCTCAAAACTGGTGTTATATGCTCCAAATGTTGAGAGCCCCAAAGTATGCAGGCTGCTGCATTTTGGACCACCTGCAGTTTCTGAATATCCTTTAAGGTCAGCCCCAAGTAGAGTGCATTGCAGTAATCTAGACAGGTAGTGATGAGGGCACATCATTTTATATTTATAGACACTTCATTTATTTTTATATTTATATTTAAGGTGGCTTTTCAGAGACTATTAATGAATTCCATAATGCAGTTTGACAGAGCATACGAACATTCTAAAAATGGATTAGAAAGAATTATTTTAAGGGGTCAGAAAATTGTTGCTAGGCATTACTGCTAAATGGAAAAAGTTCTCCACATCTCTTCTGCAAAATAACACATTCCCCCTCTCAATGATTTGAATAATGAACTGCTTGAAATCAGATTTAAAATAGTTACCTATGTATTCTGAAGTGGCCGGAATTGGTTTGGGAGGAAATATAGCATTGCGGAGGATGTCCTCATCATTTGATGGAGGAGGTTCATAATCTGCATCATTTTCATTCTCAGCTTGATCATCAGGCGTTTCATAATCAACACCATCTCCAACTTGATCATCATCTGGACTTTCATAATCATCACTTTCATCCTGTCAGAACAGATGTGTCCTTTTGCTAAAACAATCTATCATATCAAGATTACCTTTCAGAGTACAGAATTAATTCTATCACAAGCCACAACAAAGAGCAATATTTAATACACACACACACTTCAGAAGCTAAGACTCCTATTTACAGAGATTACCCTGATAGGATGGTAGAACAGCTAACCATGTAGCCCTTAATTTTGGTAGTCTGTATAAAGCCTAAAACTCAATGCCTCTGAGATCTGCCCCAGTAAAACCCTCTACTGTTTTCCCCTTTGACCCACAGGTCCTAGTTTGAACTCAGTGGTCCCAGTTCAAGTCTCCTTCCTGTGGACTTCAAACAACTAGAGAATCTGAAACTAGCATAGGCTTATGCTAGTTCCTGTGGCACTGCATATTTTCAAAAATTATTTAATTGTGATATTTATATATTGCTGGCTCCCCAAGGACTGAATTGAAAGATCCCTCATTTAGTTTTGCCAGGGAAATACATTGCTCAGAGAATCCTTGACAATGGCAACTTGGCAACTTGAAATGTGGTATGTTTAATTCACTTGTGCCCTCTCCAAACATGTTTTATCTGTTCTTGAACCTGCATAATATGTATCATTAGAAAGCGGAATTCTCTCTGATATTTTGGCCTTTTTTTTAATAATGTTCTTGAGAAATCTGGATATATTTATAATTTCCATTTCTATGGCTGCTCACTCATGCACATCTTTGGATGGCTTACAAAGGTTAAAAACAATATAACCTTTATATATGTTGTCACATTTTAGTAGCAGCTTCAACCACAAACTCTTAATAAAGTAAAACAAAGAGTACAGTAGCAGTCTTGTCATCTTCACGATAATTCCATTTCTTTCAAAGTTATTTATTGTACTTTAAAACCAAGATTTAAGTGCACAATCTATGTCTAACTAGTGCTTCTTCAAAAATTGCCACTGAGAAATATCATCATTATTTTCATAGCCACAGAAATGGGTAAATTATTCTATATATGGGAGCAATCATACCAATTGCATTTGAAAGTTAAATTAAATTAATATACATTTTCAATCAACCAAATTTATTTTTTGCCTGGGTGTAACTTCCCATGATAACTCTTAAAGAATAAATGCAACCCTTGCCCCAAATCCCAAAATATACTTACAAAGGAGGACCAGCCATCACCATCCTCTTGTTTATATTCTGTGGAAAAACAGCAAAAATCATACATTTCTTAATACACAGAAGAATATAAATATCCAAGTTCGAGATAGTTCCCCATTTAACTGTTAATGCATAGGTAGCAGAGGATGGTGGGACAGCCAAGGCTATCATTTCAGTGGAATACATCCAAATGTTCAACTGAGACCGCCGAATAATATCATGGAGGGATTATCATGATCTATCACATAATATATACAAACCTGATTTTATGTGATAGATCATGATAATCTCTCCATGATATTATTCGGCGGTCTCAGTTGAACATTTGGATGTATTCCACTGAAATGATAAAGCATGAAATTTCAAGAGTCCTGTTTTGATGTTTCATGTATTCAGGTTATGGCCATTTCCCCACCAGTGACTTATAGCATCTTTTGGTATCAGCCTGTCTTGTTAAGGCAATGTCAAAGCTGTCCTCCTTAGTATTACATCAGCACAAGGATGGTTGGATGATACTAAAAAATGCTGTAAGTCACTAGTGGAGATCCTGCCTATATTGTGGATATTGAGTGATGAAAATGCATATCTGAACTCATCCATAGCTGAAGGAGAAATATGACCAAAAAGAGGATGCTAGGAAATGGTGAGATGACATAGGAATATAGCTTCAGATAATAAAAACCCAGTTGGTAGTTGTTATATTACTGTACAATTCGTACAACAGGAAGTACATAAATATGTGGTATTTATTTACTAGGATAGCAAGAAAACTTTGAGATAGGCAGTAGTTCCTATTCAGACATAACCATTAGCACAATAAGCTATGGTTTATCAGTTCAAGAATGAGTATTATTTTTATGTTGCCTACTTAATTCTGATCACGGCAATCTTACTACAACTCTTGGGAGAACATATACATTAAGAACATGCCTTAACAGAAACCCCCTTTCTCGTAAGCTATTTTAAAAAAAAAAACAGGCCATACCACCTCCAGCTCAATTTCAATACCAGAAACAAGGTTCCAGACAGGGTATTTTATTAGCTGGTCCTGTCCAAACATCATATTATCATTGTGCCCAGAACTATCTTACCATTTCACAGAATGAAGGAAGTGCCTGAAGCAATAGACACTTCAGCGGGTGGGTTAGTGGTAATGAGGTGGAAAATCCAGTTGTGTCCCTCATGCTATATGGCCTCACCTCCTCATTAGTCTGCTGCCCTCATTGTCTAGTGGGAGACAGCAACAATGCTGTAGAAAGATTTAACTGCCAATTTGTTCATTGTACGTGGGACAGAGAGAATCCTATCTTGTCCTTCACTTCAAGCAGGAAAATGTCTTGAATCTGCCCTGTTTGTACCCTGTGCTTTGTCCTCCTGCTGTTCCTTGTCTCCCATCTTCTTAGAATGCTGCAGTTAATCCTGAAAGACTCTTTAAGATGCTATCTATCCACCTTTTATGCCAGAAAAAATGCTGGCATAAAATTTGCTACAATCCCTATCCTGCCTCTGTCTGTTTTGTGTCACCACTGAATAGTGCCGCCCTAACTTGTGAATGTTCCATTTGGTTTTCTCTTCTGTTTTGCTGGTCTTCCCTTTCAGCATGGCACCAGCCAGCCATAAAGATCATCATGAATTAGGACACTGGAGCAGGAATATGTTTAGTCAGGACTCTGCTTGGCTTTTCTAGGCTTCTAGAAGCTCCTCCTTCTATATTCTGTTTGAGCATCTCACTAGTTAAAATAATGTGAAACACACAGGAAGACCCCAGAAAGCCCCAGAAAGGAAGAAGACAAACCCTGCTGTGACTGTGTAACTTGCTAGGAGAACTAAAATTGATTAGCTGTTGGGTAACTACCTTCATTGCTCCCCCAGGACTGGGAGGAAGCAATTGAAATGGACTCATATATGGGAAATGACAAATAAGTAATGAAAATCCAGCTCAAATAATATCCTTCATTATTTTCTGGACACTGGAGTGAGGAAAAACAGAGCTGTTGCATCTTCAGGTAAACACAGTACATTTCAGAGTACTATTAAAGCAGAATAGTGCTAAAGTGGTCCCTTTTCTTCCTTAAATAAAATAGTGGAGCTCTGTTCTGCTCTCCTATCCCTAGTTGGACCCTGGAGAGAAGTTGTGGTTATAAACAGAAAGGTGGTGGATGAGGAAGTGATGAGTACAAAGGAACTTGGCAAACAAAATGCTAATGAAAAGGGTAAACATTGGGAGAGAGATGGTTAGAGTTGAGGCTAGTTAATTACCAGGAGGGAGGGAATATACAATATCTCCCAACACTTTGCAAACCAACTTCTTATCATACCCATTACTGGACACCTAACTCTGCCTCCAAGGAACAGGTGGCAAAGCATAACAGATTTTATACACCTTGATGCACACCCTGATTGTTGAATTATGTTCTCAAGGCAGAAGAATTTTTTTACTGATACAGCTAAAGACTTACAGTTGTCTCACTCATGGGTTTGTGGGAGGGATGACGTTAGAGCAAAATCACATGGTTAAGGGAGAAAGTTGATATTGTCAGGCAAGTGAAAACAGAGCCTATGATTAATCAGTATTGAAACAAGATATGATACCAAGCCTTTAAGCTTGTTTTAATTCTGGGTAACCATAGTTTCAAAAGATCAAATAACAAAAGCAGCACTGTGTTGTGAGTTCCACCCTTTCTTTATGCGTGTTGTGATATCACACACAAATATAAAGGGGTGGAGTTTGCATTGCAATGATACAATGTTCCTTTCATCATTTTGATGAAAGCCTTCAATCCTGGGAATGTCTCTGGGCCTGTCAGTAAGAATGGATGGAACAGAGATAGAAGTCTGAGGGACAAGCAAGATGCAAGTTTTGTAAACAGTCTGGCTTTATTTATTTGTTCAATTTACATGGCTTTGGTGGAAGCCCAAAATATGAGTGGGTTTATAGCTGCAAAATGGGAATCCAATTATTTCTTTTAGTATGTCAGCAGGAGTACAAGTAGGAAAAAGGGTTTTGTACTTGTGCTAAATTTTATTTAATGTTTCCACTCTTCAACTTTCATTGTTTTAAAAGCCATTATTATGTATAAAACTGTTGGCTCCAAGGTAAATTGATTATATTTACTTCTCATTGAAATCATTTGAATTTAACATACTGTGATTAACATTTCACATTGATTTCTGTAGCATTAAAGTACAACCAACGTAGCCTAGAGCCAAACCACAGAGTGGGAATATTTCAAAAGAAAATTGATTACCAGCATGAATATTGGTGCACACAGACAGGCATAATAAATGTTTTTACCTGTATTTTCAGGAGACTTCTGTATCTGTGTTCTGTAAAATTGGAGGAGAAAATAAGCAAATGAGTGTTTTAGATGACAAGATGACAACAAACATTTGGTTAATTTAAATTTCCTGATTGCCCTGGCTTACTGTTTATGGAAGACGTGAATATGTGACATTGTCCCTAATCCAGCCCTGGCCCTAGGGCAGCTTCCACCTCCCTTTTCTTGCATCAAAAGGGGTATGTCTTCCAACTTTTGCCAGCCCAAACAGTACTATGTTGTCTGCCTGCAATACTTCATTTCATTGTAACTAGTGCCTCCACTCCTTCTAGTATGCTATTGTGGATACACCCCCTCCCATTCAGTCACTGGTAGCTGTCCTCTACAGCCATTTCCTCTCTAGCTGCAGTGCTGCCTGCCCTCCTTCAGAAGGACCTTTGCATGTAAAGCCTGGAAGGGAAGTCTCAGGCCCCTATGTGAGCTCCTTATATACCTGAAAACATTGGTGTTTTGGAACACCAGTGCATACCAGTTCCTCTACGGACAAAGCACTGGTCTACCACTAAACGGTTTAGGAATTTCAGCTGGTGCTAGCGGACAATGTGATAGCTGCTCTCATGTTCCTGTCCCTCCCTGTCATCCTCCTGAGACATATCCTATGGGAATATCCCATTTTTAATGTTTTTTATTATTATGTTTGTGGTTATTTTGCTGTATAGTTTTTGTGTTTTTTAAACTATATGCCACTCAGAGTCATGTATGTGAGATGGGCGGCTATATAAATTTACCAAATAAATAAATAAAGGCTGTGCCTGTTGCCTATTCTACTGCAGTTTTACAAATTCCATGGGATACTTAGAGGTGCTGTGGCCACTGGCTGCCAAGATTCCCCTGTAACACCAGTTTGAGATATTTGGGAGCTGGACTGAAATTGACAACCGTTCTGCCAGTTTCCCTTTCTGAGCCAAATGACTAGAAGAACAGTAAGCCTTTTTTTAGAAGAACAGTAAACCTTCCCCCAGGTCTCCTGTTAAATGTCTGTCCAAAAGCAGCCCATCTGACAGATCAGTGGACTAGAGGATGGGTGGAAACTTCATCCCACATACCTCCTCCTCCCACAAACCTGTCAGGTTGCCAATTTTTGGATAGGGGTTTACCAATCTTACAGTAGACTGGTGGACTGATAAACAGATTTACTGTTCTTCCTATCAGTCGGGCTTTCAGAAGACTGGTAGACCTATGTTAGCCCAACTGACAGGTTACTAGTATAAGGCACACTTAGGCAACTTGATAAGTGGTTAAAGCCTCCATCCCAAGCACCCATCCTGACAAGCAGATCTTTTACTGCTTGTAGCTGGGACCAAGGAAATATTCGTCCCTCCCCCCCCCCCACTTCTTATGTGGACAGGACCCCTATTCTGCTTTTTGGCTGAGATTGAATAGATCAACCCTTCTGGAAGCTGGCATACTTTCTCAACTTGTGCCCTGGGTCATAGCACTTTAGCGTTGCCATGCAAATGAGCTCTGAATGTGGGCAGAACATATTAATATCTAGTTATTAGACACATAAAATGGGTGTTTTACTCCAGCTGAAATATGCAGAGTGTGCAAAAGTATATTGTTTAGATATAAATTCAAGTCTTTTAAAAATGCACGCCTATCTAACAGACAAACTGGAAGAATATTGGTAAAAAGTTAATAGGCTGACAAATTAGACCACTTTGCTTTGAAAACCACAGGAACTTCTACTTAGTCTGTGCACTTTTGGCTTCACCTGTATTTCATGACAGTTCTAATTCCCTTTCGTTTTTTTGAAAATAGGGCAAATCAATGAGGAAAACAGTATATCAGAGAACTTCAGTTATATTAATATCACTAATAGCAACTGGTATTGAATTAGTAATACCAGTTGGTATTATTGGCCAGCAGTGGTTTTCATAGGAAATGATATTTAATTCTATTCCAAAAGACAGAATTAACCACCTTCCCCTGAGAATTTTGCTGTTGTGTTGTGCAGATTGTTTGCCCCAGTGTACTTTTAACAACATTTCCTTTTATTGTTTATAGGCAAAGACCATGAAAACTCTAAGGCACAATTAATGAATTTTTCCCCACTGCTGCATTTATAGAGACTCTCATTACACAGAAATTCTAACAGTCTTCATGTCCCAAAACTAATGTGACTTGTTCCCATGCAAGGGGCAATTATGCCCACAGATAATATCAAATTCTTTCCTAAAACCAAAAAGTTATAGCACTTTTCTTAAAACAATAAAAGCAGAGAATTTAACAGAGCATCACTCTAAAAGCCTTGTACTTACTTCTCTAAAGGTGGGCACTTTTAATACCCTGAAAAGTATCTGCTGTCCCTAAACTATCCCCGGCCCCTGAGTAAAAGTGGACATACTCCACTATTTACAAAACATTGAATTCAGCCATTGTGGTGCTGGGGTGAAGTTGTGGGACTAAGAGCAGCAAAACCCAGGTTAAAGTCCACTCTTGGTCATGAAAGCTCCTGGGTGATTTTGGGCCAATCATGTTCTATCAACTCATTCTACTTGACAGATGGTTTTTCTGTGGTGGAACAAATGGAGGAGGGAGTCCCATGTATGTTTTACTGAGTTCTTGGAGGAAAGGTAGGATATAAATCTAAATTATCATAATGACCCTTTGAAATAAGCTGGACTGAGTACAGCAATTGCCCCAAAGTCATAAAATGAGCTTCCCTGGTTGGGGTGGACTTTAAGCTGGGCCTTCCCATTCCTAATCGAACACCTAATACTGTACCATTATATAGCTGGCCTACTCTATAGCAGTGAAAATGGGCAGGGAATGCTTTTTGCTCTTAGAGTCCCATTGTATGAAACAAGAAGTATGAATTAAACCATCCAGATTACAAAAGAATGGTGCTTGGGTCACAAACCTTTATTGGCAGTATTTGCTATTACTGCCACACAGTAATATCTTAGCTGAACAAAGCAGCTTTTACACTGGACCCAGTGTCAAAAGAAGATTACGGTATTTTTCTTTTTTGTAACTGTCTCTTCCAGACTAAATATTCAGATGCTTAAAAAAAAAAACAAGCTTAACTTTCTGTAAATAGTTTCATTGCTCAATTCACAGGCAAACCACTGGAGTCAGCTGTGAAGCTAATGAGACTAGAAACCCCAGGCACAGAAATTAATGACCCTTATTTCAAGAAATGTGCTCAACATTGCAGTCAGAATGGAGTTGCTGCAATGGAGAACCATGTTAACTCTGCCTTAATCCTTTGCCCTTGAAAGAAGATCTACTAATTAGCAATTGTGTTTAAAATATATGACATGGCACCATTGGCTTGTGAGACTCCCTAACACTTCATCCCACTCATTGGGTGCTGTTTGCAGAGGCAAAATGGCTCAGTAGCATCCTGAGTGTTGCATTACATTTTGCAAAGGAGCACCTGTCACTGAATTACAAGGGTCTACCTCCTGCTTCAGTATGAACAAGAACCCAAGTACTTTCTTTAAAATAAATTCACAAATAAAAACGGGGTCATGAGTGAGCCCTCTCAACTGCAGCTTCATAGCAGAAGCCTGGAAAGGAAGGACTTCCCCAATGAGGACGAAGGAATCGTTTTATGAGCTGGTTTTGAAATCTGTTGGTGAATCTGAAAATATTGCCCAACAAATGGCTTTCAGTTTAACTAACTTAATGTGCTAGCCAGGAATGAAGCTCTTGGCATTTTCTCCCTATCAGCTACAGTTGTGCAGCTGATGGGTGAATAAACCCAGTATTACTATTGAAGAGAATGTAAGTGCCACATCATACATTCATGAACATAATTCTTTATGCTGGTGTCTAATAAGAAGCACTCTGTTGCAATATGGTGATCCCATTCATATGGAGTTTTAAAATTCATGTTGATTCATGTTGGATGATTTGTGCCAGAGTAGCTTTGGTTTTGTTTTTGCTGTGGTTTGGTAACAAATACTGTCTCAGCTGAGCACATCTGAAAGCTGTTGTATTCATCCTAACAGCTGGAGGTACACCCTCTCCTGCCATCTAATGGCAGGAAGTCAGTCTCAAAGATTTTCATTTACTATTTTAACAAGAGAAAGATCCTAAACTCTTCCTACCTTTTTGGAAAGATGCTTTTTTTTTCTTCATGCCGATTTATTTCCTGACTTAGTTTGCTTAGAATGCTGAGATGAGAAAGGAAACAAGGGGTTATTAATAAAATAATCATTATATTAAACTGTATACAGTATGTAGAACTTGTTTATGGCTTAAATGGGAGAAAGAGTTCAATGTGCTCAACTTCAGCTGGATTTACTCCATTTTTTTAAAAAAAAATACAACTATTGAACAGAAAGATTACATGAGTTCTAGCAGGAGAGTGCAAGACAAAGTCAACATGCTGTTACATTTTCTTAGCTCCATGACAACTCCGTTTTTAAATGGAATTGTAGTGAAGGATTAGATCAATTTTAAAGCACACACATACTGCGCAATTACTGTACTCACTGAAAAACATAACAAACTTAATGTTTTAATGCAAAAAAAAGGAAAGAAAATAGACAAATAATAATAAATAATAAACAGGTAAAAGTTCCATATTATCATAAAATTTTTAGTGATATGTTTGAAGTAAGACACATTACATTGAGGTACAAATTATTTTATCAACAGTGCTGGAGACAAAGACAGGCCTAAAAAGAGGAGGGGTTATAGTCCCTCTTTATAGACTAATGCAAAGTAAAAATACAGGTAGCCCTTGCTTAGCGACTACCTCATTCAGGGACCATTCAAAGCTATGATGGTGCTGAAAAAATATCTTTACAACCATTGCCCACATTCATGACCTTTGCAGCATCCCTCAGTCACATGATTGCCATTACAATCAGTAAGCATTGGCCTGTGCCTGACCTGTTGTTCCCCCCACCCCTTTGAGGAGCAGAGAGACTGGAGAGGAAGGGATTACAAGAGAGTAGCTGACACACAATGGGGAATACACATTGAAAGGAATGCATGTGATTAGATATAGCAGCCAGGTGTTGCATTGGATATAACATATCAAATGCCTAGTGAGGTCAGTGAGACTATTAGGGTATAACTATGTGGTAATGAGGCAGGAATACAAGAACCATGGGGTTGTGAAAGAACAAAGAAGCAGCATTTCATGAACTAAGTTTCTTTCTAGGGAGTTACTTTCTTTTGCTTCCCCAGAACTCTGTATCTTGCATACCTTGGCCTTCTAAATGTTTAGCAGCTGAGCTAACAGGGTTCCCCCCCCCAAAAAAATTGTTTTACTGAATTATAAGATACAAATAATACATCATAGAATACAAATATTAGCAGGGAACAGTGGTATTTATGCAATATAAATTAGAAATTGTTAACACTATGATGATTTAGATAAGTTAAACCTTTAAAGATAAGGAGAAAAACATTTGTATCAATGTTAAATACGGTTTCTAAATAAACATAAGGTTGCTCAAATTGTATGCTTAAAGCTGAGTATAACACTGTTGGACAATTGCATTAAATTATTTTACAAATACAAAAAAGGTCTTCACTATATTGTTAGAGATATAGATATGAGAGAGAGGGAAAGGGAAGGGAAGGGAAGGGAAGGGAGGAAGGAAGGAAGGAAGGAAGGAAGGAAGAAAGAAAGAAAGAAAGAAAGAAAGAAAGAGAAAGAAAGAAAGAAAGAAAGAAAGAAAGAGAAAGAAAGAAAGAAAGAAAGAAAGAAAGAGAAAGAAAGAAAGAAAGAAAGAAAGAAAGAGAAAGAAAGAAAGAAAGAAAGAAAGAAAGAGAAAGAAAGAAAGAAAGAAAGAAAGAAAGAGAAAGAAAGAAAGAAAGAAAGAAAGAAAGAGAAAGAAAGAAAGAAAGAAAGAAAGAAAGAGAAAGAAAGAAAGAAAGAAAGAAAGAAAGAGAAAGAAAGAAAGAAAGAAAGAAAGAAAGAGAAAGAAAGAAAGAAAGAAAGAAAGAAAGAGAAAGAAAGAAAGAAAGAAAGAAAGAAAGAGAAAGAAAGAAAGAAAGAAAGAAAGAAAGAGAAAGAAAGAAAGAAAGAAAGAAAGAAAGAGAAAGAAAGAAAGAAAGAAAGAAAGAAAGAAAGAAAGAAAGAAAGAAAGAAGCAAGCTACTTGGAAAAGTCAATATGTATTTGATTTGTGAGTTCCCCCTTCTTTATACTCCAAACAATATGAAGTATTTATAAACATTTAGACCCTCTTAGAAACCTTACTGTATGCATTTGATTTGCCTTGCTGCCTGATGTATTGGGCGTATGAAAACCATTCTTGCCTGAATTTGGTTAAACTGCTGTTATGGATATATGCTGTTAGTTTTGCCATTGCTGCGTATTCCCCAAGTTTAAGTTCCCAGATAACGTCACTGTTGAATCTTTCTTCCAATATTCAGCAAAGTTCATTCTCACAGCTGTGAACATGTATCTCAGTAAATGAGAAATTAAATTTGAAATGAAATCCCATTTTTTAAAAAATAGGTATATAATTCCAGAGTACATTAACAAGAAACATCGAAATTTACTGAGATAACAGTTTTAGTTTCCTTGGGAAAGTGTTTTTGGCTTATTGACCCCACGTAGACACGCCAGTGCTTTGCTTTCCCTAGGAAGACTATATTTGGATTAGAGGTTTTTAACTTGCCCCCCTCTCTCCAAATATCCTACAATATTTAGCCTCATAAACATAGGTGAATCATATTTAAATGCTACTATGAAAATGATTTTCATAAGTGCTTACTGCTTGAGTGGGCTTTGAAAAACTAACCAGGATTCTTTGGAGGATTGCAAACTAAAATTTGTGTTTGGATATAATCTTGGCTTGTAAAGAGAGTGACAAGCAAGTATCTGTAGTTGGAATTAGATGGTAAACTTTCAATCCTCAGTAAATTTTACGGTGTCAAATAAAAAGAGGCAGAGGCAGCTATGGTTTAAAGGTCAACCCGCCTACTTGTATCTCATTATCATTTTAAATCTATATATGCAACTGAGCATTTAGATGTTTCTTTTCCTGTCCATTAAACTAATTATTATTTCAAAAACCCCTGTCACCTTTAAATAGAACGTAGTCTTTTTTTTTTTTTTTAAGATAAAAATAAACCAAAAACCTGAGAGGTTTTTTTTAAAAAAAACCTCTCAGGTTTTTGGTTTATTTTTATTTTTGCACAGGAAGGAGGTTAGTCAAAATGCATGTGTTAGGTTGATAATTTATAAAATAGTCATAAATGCAGAATTACGCATTTATGCGTGCACAGCAGTTGCATCATGAGGGGTAAAGAAATTATTCTTTGTATAGTTCAGTTATTACTACAATAGCAAATTTCAGACTTAAAAAAAAAAAAAACATTAAGGCTTAGAAGATGCACATGAAGAATGAACAACCGTTTGTTCCTGCCTTTCTCCTCACTGTTGCTCACTGCCCCCTCCCTATCTAAGCTTCTCCTGATGGTTGAGCTCTGGAAGATGGACTTGCCCAGATTCATGAAGAAATAGCCCAAGTAGGTGAACTTGAATCTGGATTAGTTTTTATTATGACAAGTGCTTGTGTTTTTCAACTCAATTATTGGCTTAAACTGAGTTTTATTGGGGATCCTTTAACTGATTTGATTCTGCAACCTGGAAGATGCAGCTTCGTAAAGATATAAGTTAGTGTGACTTTGCAAGCCAATTTTTGCTAGCACTGTAGATATAGACCTCTAAAAAAAGAAAGCAGGGACTTCTGTCAGACTTGATGGGTTAATAGAAAACTATTCATCCTGGCCAAGTATCCATATGACTGTATGGATTTAAACCACCACAGAGTTTTCTCCCAAGCTTGCTTTAATGCTCTACCATTGGCAGTACTACAGAGAAATGTACAATAATGCTCCCATCTCAGAACTTCATATGAACTTATGAAAACTGAATCTCTAACCCACACATCTCTTTATTGCCTTCTGATTCCACACTCTGATTTGTAACTCCCCTCGTATTTAATACACCTGGTAGAACATCTCTTGCTATTGAACGAGCATCCTGAGACCATTAGGAGAGTTTTAAACTTCCTGTCTATTGACACTGCATTGTATCAGAACTTATTAGAAGCAGCCAAGCTTACTGATATATAATATTTTTATTCCTTATTTTGACTGTTTTTAATCTTAATGTTTCTTTTTAATCTGGTTTTTCTGTATAATCTGATTTATGGTTCAGATAACTAAAACCTAATAGTTGTCCAGATTTTTACAATCCAGACATAGATGCCCTTAATTCATAATTCCCCCTTTGCTGAAATTCCTTTAGAGCACACCCCAGGATGAAAATTGGAATCTTAATTACCTAACTAAATGTGTGCCTTGAAGGTGATGATATGACTGCCCATTTCTTCTTCTAATCTAAACCGATATATTGGAAGTATGCCTGAAATTTAACTAGTTTCAGTGCAACTTGCTTCCGTGTTTGTCCAGCTAATGGGCACTTAGTAAGTTAGTTTTGTTTCCTTTTAGCAAATGGAGAGAGAAGGAGAGTGCAGTTTTGATCAAAGTTTCCATCATGTGTTGTATGAAATCTTGTACACTAAGATCATTTTTCATCTACCTGTTTATCTCGGTTAGTTGAGACAAAGCTCTTATGGTTAAAAACAGTAGTGGAAAAAATAGTAATGCACATTTACAGTTACTGCCACCAAATCCTCAAGGTGAGAGAAAATCCTCAGCCACAGATTGACACAACTACCGGGAAATTTGGGGGACTGCAAGAAGGAACCAGTCTTATCACTTGCTCTCTTCAACCCAGTCGGTGTTATCACATATATTCAAGATGCAAACTCAAGTCCTTTAAAATGTTGCATAATTTGCTCTTGATAAAGTAAACGCAGTTGCCCGTACCACACACACAAACGTCTTTTTCAATCATGTGAGACAACAATAGAGCTCAACATCCAAGGATTCAAAGGATTTTGGGGTGGGAGTGGGGGTACCAGATACAACAACCACCACCACCAATTCTAGAATTTTCAGGTAGGGAAATGAGCAATCCAGTTCAAAAGGCAGAGCAAAAATACAATACCAGTTAAATGGGGCATTATGAATGCGAAACACAAACAGCAAAAGGAGTTTTATGCTGAAGCTTGGCATGTACTGTATGGTGCAGCTGGCCTGTGTGAATAGTGTTTGATGCTTAAACTTTTAACTCCTGT